AACCAAAACACATTTATTTACCTTTGTAAAATTTCAAAGGTTTGTAGTCTCCTTTTAAAAACAAATGCATCAAATCACATTCAACAATCATGTTTAATCCAAACTGAAAGATTTTAAAATCCACTTAAAAGATCTGCTGTGAAATATTGTACATGTGTCATTCCAGGTCAATGTATTTGAATGATTACTCTGATGTTGTTTCTGACTTTTCCTCTGGCGCCACCATGAGGTTGGTATTTGTGATCTGTGCTTAGTTACAGCTTCTCATAGCTTGTATGTTACTCTAATGCCACATCTATACTACCACGACTTAGTTTTAAAACACACAACTGCTTGTGTCGCCTGCCGACTACACTACTGCAGAGTTTTCGAGCTCCTAAATCTGTTTAGAAACCCTGCTGGGGTTAATGAACACATGTGAACCCGCTCAGATCATCAGCAAATGAGGCTTCGTCCCACGTCACTGTTTAGTCTTAAAAAAGAGTGTTAAAGAGTTATGTTTCCACACTGTCCATTAGCTAAGGAGCAGGGACGAAGGCTGAAAGAGGTTTTTTGTGAGCGGCCGTAATCACATTCAACCAAAGCAAATACCATGATCTATTTATTATATTTATCACAGCTTCTAATCATGACATTCTGGATTTATAATGTCCTTTTTCAAACGTTATGTCCAGACATGTGATCCCCAGACAAAGGCGCCAGTGTGTCGTATAGCTGCTCGGCTGCGACTGACTGACTTCTCTTATCCTCTGGTGTGGCCGTACCTTGTATCTCTTCTTACAGCCAGGGACGGGGCAGGCGAATGGCTTCTCCTCTCCCCCATTCATGCACATGGAGCTGAGGATTGACTCAGAGCTGATGGCGCTTTCTGTGGTCCACGACTCATCGCTGTCCGACTCCTCGTAGTCTACCTCCTCCTCATCATACTCACTGCCTGCAGGCACAATGGAGACAAGCGCAACAAAAAAGATCTCGTCACCACAGATGAATTATGGACAGAGGTTTTACTCAAAAGGACATCATGCCCTGGGAATTTACCAAACAGAAATTATATGTGACTTTTTATGAAAGCTTTTCTGCGTATTCTTCTCCTGCGTTGATGCTTTAGCGGCCCACATGTCACTGCGAGCGCTGTTCAGACAAAACAGCAGTGGAGTGCATGTGTGTATGTGCTTCTGTGTGTGAGTCAAAAACACAGGGATTGGCACTGAGAAAGAGATCATTAAGTGGGAGTGATCCCCATCGCTCTGCCTGGAAAAACTGCTTTGCTAAGTGCAGAACATTTTCCACTCACATGCATGCACATTGCGCATGCACATTGCACACACACAAGCATACACACATCACAGAAATGTTCAGGCACACACAGACACATAAAGGCCCGCTGACCCCCCACCATCTCACAGGAAATGCTGCACCTCAGCATGAGGAAATGGATGGCACCCTGGCACATGTTGAAAGGGTGTGTGTGTGTGTGTGTGTGTGTGCATGTGTGTGTGTGCAGAGCCAGGCTGGTGCATGAGCCCAGACCTAACACTACGTTTGGAACCATTTGTGCTGGAATTGGACATCTGCTTCTGGGCTGTGCAACACACGGCCCCATGCGAGCACACAACATGACAGCTGCTATGTAATTAGCAGAGTGTTGACTGGTCTGCTCACTGCAGGAGCCACCATACCCAACACACAAACAACACACATGAACACGCAGAAGGCAACATTCTCTTCCACTCGTTTTCGTTTGGAAAGTGGATTAAAAAAATGTGAGGAACTCTGAACATGAAACATTTCCGAACTATTACAAAGCAACTTTTCAGTGTTAAAAGTGAACAATGTGCGGTTTCTATTTACAGGTTGTATTTTTGAGCTTGTGCACTCTTGGCAGACATGCTGGATTTATGTTTTTAATTTTCCTGCTCAGCGACCAGGTATGAAATGAGCTTCATTCCATTTAGGTTACAAAAACCTTCATTTGCTCATCTGTACTGTCTGAATTTGATGAAATGCTCCCGATGGCACGACCATAATTCTGGGCTTTTATTTTTTTCTTCTGTTACTGCCGGTGGGGTTAATTTGCATTCGTTTCAACACCTCCATTCACTCCACACTAAAAAGCAATCCATCTTTCTTCCTCTCGAGCACACATGTCAACACGTACACCGGTCGTACCTGTAGGTGTGCTGCTCCGGAAGGAGGAAGACGGGGTGATGGGGGGCGTGACAGGAGGCGTCAGGTTACCGCTTGTGTGGCGAGGGGGCGTGGCCGTGCTGTTCCTGGACACTCCGCCTGTGATGGACAGGGACAGTTTGGGTGTGGCCTTCTTTTTCATGGTCTCCTGCTCGCGGCGTGCAGCATCCGTCATGAACCTGACAGCATGAAAATGGTGTAATTAGTAAAAAGCTGTAATATGTCTCTGCTACAACACAACTGACAAGAGCTTTTCCAGACAACAATGACATTAATATTATGGTGTTTTAAAAATGTCACAACATTACATTTGTTCCTTCCTGCTTTAAACCTAATATATCACACTCAGGTTTTAAACTCATGTAACTGTGCAGTAATCATTT